TGTATCTTTATTTTCATTAGTTTCAAGAAATTTTTTGATTTCCCATTTAATTTCTTCTTGGGCCCATAGGTGATTCAGGAGCCTGTTGTTTAGTTTCCATGTATTTGTATAGTTTCCAGGGTTTGGCTTGTTACTAATTTCCAATTTTAGTCCATTGTGGTCTGAAAAGATACTTGGAAAGATTTCAACTTTTTTTAATTTGCTGAGATTAGATTTGTGACCTGGTATGTGATCTATCCTGGAGAATGTTCCATGTGCTGATGAGAAGAAAGTATATTCTTTAGGTGTTCGGTGAAGTGTTCTGTATATATCTGCCAGATCCAGTTGGTCTAATGTGTAGTTTAAATCCTGTGTCTCTTTTGTCAATTTGTTGCCCGGAAGATCTTTCCCATACTGAGAGGGGGGTGTTCAGCTCACCCACTATTAACGTATTAGGGCCTATTTCTTTCTTTAGGTCTAAGAGTGTTTGCTTTATATATCTGGGTGCTCCAGTATTGGGTGCATATATATATTTAAGATTGGAGCAGAACTAAATGAAAGAGAGACCCTAAAAATGATAGAAAAGATCGATGAAACAAAAAGTTGTTTTTTCAGGAAGATAAATAAAATAGACAAACCATTAGCTAGGTTAACAAAAAAAAAAAGAAGAGAGAAGACCCAAGTAACAAAAACCAGAAATGAAAAAGGAGACATTACAACTGATACCACAGAAATACTAAGAATCATTAGAGACTATTACAAACAAATGTATGACAACATGACAATAAATATGCAAACCTGGAAGATATGGGTAAGTTTCTGAACACAACCAAACTACCCAGACTGAACCAAGAAGAGGTAGAAAACCTGAATAGACCAATAACAAGCAATGGGATTGAAGAAGTAATTAGCAATCTTCCAACAAAGAAAAGCCCAGGTCCAGATGGCTTTACAGCTGAATTCTTCCAAACCTTTCAAGAGGAATTAATACAAATTCTTCTCAAAATATTAAAAAACTTGAAACAGAAGCCATTCTCCCAAACTCATTCTGAGGCCAACATAACTCTGATACCAAAACCTGTTGGGAGCCTGAAGCCCCACACCCCTTCTTGTGAGACCACTCCTACGTGACAAT